AGGTGTTATTTGTTTAGTTTTACTGTTCGGTTTGGATAGTGGCATGCATGGGCAGCTTACAGTGTCACGCCGACTTATGCACCTATGGATCCTCGCCTGGCTTGTCCGAGTTGTGAGAGTGTAAACCCTAAACATCCCAGCAGACTCGAAAAGTTCCCATGCTTTGGAGTTTTGATTTTCCGTACAGGGCTCAGACAAGATGGGTGACGAGCTCATGGGATTATTGATGACTCGCGACTCGACTACGTGTGTCTTTATATGCCTAAAACTCTCAACCTTCTCTACACAAGGGGAACGCTCCCCAAGCCTCGGGTCAATGCTTCTGGGCAACGTGGTCCAGGAACGCCTGGCCGCCCGTCTGCCGCCGTCTCGTGCAGAACGGGCTTTGGAGGAGATCGCCCACGGCCAAGCCCTGTGGAAGAAGTTCAAGGACATCAACCCCGAAACCTTCAAAACACAGGGCAGCTTCATCCGCAAACCCTTTTCATGCCGAACCGAGCTGGGAGAGTCTATAGGACCAGTCACTACAGTAGGAGGCAACGTCCGTTGCAGGGCGTGGAGGCCAGGTTTCGTCCGGGATGGATGTAGGCTTGCTGCCCGCAGAGGTTCGAGATGGTTCGAGCTTTTTCGCTGTTTGCTCATCCGGCTCCCTGAAACAAATTAATATGTATTATACCAGCCTCAACCCCAAACAGCAAGTGGGAGACAAGTGAGAGACAAATGCGTAGCGGTTTTTAGAGTAGTGCCATGAGAAATCCAAATGAGCGTTACAGAATCCTTTTCTATTANNTCAGCTAAAGCTGTTTGGGGAATAATTAATATATATATATATATATACATATGTTTACATACATGTATGTTTATATACATATATGCATATACAAATACACATGCACACACATACATACACACATTGTTTCCGTATATACACATAATCAGAGACCGTTTCTTCTGTGAGGAGCAAGCAGAGGCAGACGAGAAGAGCAAGGAGCTTCGGGGCCCGAATGGCGTGGCGCAGCGAAAGGACGGTACAGGGTTTACATTTTTGGGGATGTAGGGTTTAGAGTAAGTTTAGAGTTTAATTGAAGGTTTTAGAGTTTAGGGGTTTAGATTAGGGGTGTAGGGTTTAGAGTTTAGGGGTTTGGAGGTGTAGGGTTTACAGTTTAGACGTCTAGTGTTGAGGGTATAGGGTCTCTGGCGATTGCACAAGCCCAGATGCAGACAAAGTGTGTGGGGGATAGGTCATATATGCGGTAGGTGATATCCACGTGACACGTGACCGACCACACTGTCTCAATTGTGCAGTCGGAATAATGCATACTACTATCCCCGTATAGTAAAGTCCCTGCAGTATGTAGTTGCAAAAAGTCATGAAAACACTAGTTACAATAGAAGATGCGCCAAAACCCGACTTCAAGTTATGATTTATGATAGATCTAACCTCGCAGGATGGGCTGGATATGTCCTTCCATCAGCTTTTGGGCGATGCTTCTCGCATGCGCTCCCAGCTGAATGAGATCGGCGACTCAACTGGTATAGGGTCTAGGGTGCAGGGGAAAGGGTTTAGGGTATAGCCTTTGGGGTTTGGGGCTTGGGGCTTGGGGTTTCGATTTTAGGGTCTAAAGGGCATATGCACGGAGAGAGGCCATGTGAGCAATTGAAGGGTCTACATAACCACATAAAAAAGGACCCGGGAAGGGACCCTAATTTCGAGAACTACCCATGTGTGTTCATGCTTGTGCCTTTTTCCCAAACTCTTCACCTGCAAGCCGGGAAGTCTAAACCCGAACCTCTAAAACCCTCAGGTTTTGCGGGCTTTGGGATGTGTAGGGTTCAGGGACCCTGAATCCTAAACCCTAAAGTCTAGCGAAACTCAGGTCTTCAGCTCGGCCAGGATGGGCGCGGTCGCGCCCTCGACCATCTTCGAGACAGCCGGGCCGTCCCTCGCGAGCTGCAGGAGCAGTACGGAGAGCAGCAGAAGGCGAGAAGTAAGGTGAAGTGTAGGGGTTTAGGATACCCTTTACGCTTTGTGGCAGCGCAGGGAACGGTCCAAATTCAGAAGCCTGCTTGAGAAAGATTCGGGCCGATAGTCCTCCGGTTTCAGCATGAGGCCTCCCAGCTTTCAAAGAACCAGGGACGAAGAGCTTTTTGGATTTTGGGAAAAAAAATTTAGGCCCTTAGTTGCAGTCCCTGCTCAAAACAGGGCCTTATGTAAGGCTTTGCACGGCCTTACTTGTCTCGCAATCAGCAGCCACAGTAGCCCACAGTGCTTTTGACAGCAGGTGCTGGTGGAGCAAAAGCGGCTTCTGGAACAACTTAGGCACGAACGCGAGATTGCTGCTGGCGACCAGTGGCTTTGTCCGCAATGTGGTTATTGCGGTCGTGTGGACTCTGCGCACGATTTAGAAGCCTGAATAATTACCAATATCATTCCTTACTTGTAGGGGTTCTTTATATTTCTACACTGCTGTATACCTCGAAACCCTATTCAAAGAATGAGGCCGCGAAACCAGTTCTCAGGCTGTCTCGCATGCGAGGGAGCCGAGCCTTGCGCCGACAGTACAGCCAAGGTACTGGCTCCATCGAAAGAACCGTCTTGATCACCACGACAACATCGTTGGAAAGCCAGGAAGTCTGGGTTCTGCATGCCCATAAGCCCTAAAGTCCTAAACCATGCGTCAATGGCTTGCATGTCGTCAGAGTGGGGGTGTCCAGATGGAGGAGTCGATCCAGCGGTGCCACCGGATGAGCTATTTGAGGCCTTGTGCTGATGCCTTGTTGCTGTGCCCTCATTATGATCGTTGTTCGATGGCTATGTCAGGCCATGCTGCATAACGAGTGATACGGGCACTTGGCTTGTGACTCCGAATTGTTGCTATGTTGCTGCAATTACTACAGACCCGTGACTAATGCACAAAATCTCTAAATGTGCAATATTGGGATCCTCGCGGAGATCCGTGTTCTAGGCTAATTCAGGTCAGAGGCTCACGAGTCACCCTAAAACCCTTCCATCATGAGTTTATGCATGGCAAATTTTTTAGTAAGGAGACCGAATATAGGGGATATAAACTGTTGTTGTGATGATGATTGACAACCCGAAACCCTCAAACCTACGCCCACATGAATCGATTGCGAATTGTCGGGAGGCCCATCAGAAGATACGAAGCGATCCGGAAGCTGAGCGGATCTATCCCTGGAGTGACCCTCAGCCGGCGGCTGCCCCACAGGATGCCCATGTTCCTCAGCCTTGTGAGTCGCGATGTCAAGGGTTTAGGGTACGTAGTGCTCTGATACATATGTTACCTTCTGTTTCTCCCTTACCGCCAGCACTACAATCGCTAGGGGGGTTCTGAATTTGGGGTTTGCCTTTTTCCGGATCTGCTCCCTGCCACCTGTCCAGAAAGCCCAGCGACTGCCTGCCTGTGGAGCTTTGAGCTTTGGAACGTCTTTGAAGTATATAGGTTAGCGAAGTTCGAACATACTGCAGCGCATTATTCACAACTGCCAACACCTCCAGAGGTCTATGCAGAGATTCTCCGCGTGTCTCGCAGACAGCAGCCGGGAACTGTGGCCGAGCTCTGCATCATTGACAGGGCCTGGTCAACCACGTGTAGCCGTAAATCCGCTTTAGTGAGGGTTGACGGTTTACGGTGTGTCGGCTAGCATGTTGTATTGCTTCCGATAGACATGATGTGATTCATATGCTGAGGCATCATACAAGCTCCAGGAATCATATCTCTCTGCGCGCATGACAGCGGCATATTATTCAATGTATTTCAATGTTTAATGTGGAGGCACTGGATGCTACGATTGCTTCCTTGAACGAGCGCGCACTACAGGGAGCGGAATCCTTATAGTCCCAATATTGTCATACTACAACACACACCCAGATGTAGGCACATAGTACCCATCAGCAATTAAGCCAAGCCGATGTCGGAGAGGCCGGTGTGACGCTGGCGCGATGCACGGCCGATTTCCCGGACCAAGTCGGAGAGCGCTGCTTCATGGAGGTGTCAATTCCTGCCATCTCTGCTGGCAGTGCTGCGGCATCAGTCTCATTGCTGGGTGCAAGTTTGCAAAACAGCATCGAGGTGCCACTCGCAAAGTTAAAGGAGTCTCGGGGGCAACCGCAGGATTACACCATGGAAGGTGAGAAGCCACTGATCGTCAACATGGATCTGAGCTGCGTGAAGCCACAGGATTTGCGTGGAAACAGACTGCAATCTGCACGAGTGGTGGAAAATGCTGCCGGCATCTGCCCGGTTTCAGATCTGCCCGGTGCATATCCCGAGCTTGCACCGTCAGATGCGCACCGACGTGCGCAGAAGGCTGCGTGGGAGCAGCAAGGATGCCCAGATTACATCCACGACGTGGACCTGTCCTACAACTTGGCGCATGAAATCGAGCGGCGAGCCAATGCGGTGGCCATGCGCAAGAAGGCACCTGTGCCAGCCATCGCCGCGGCGGGAAGGGACAACGTCGCCGCGGCTTCGCCGACTTCCGGCCCTCGGCAGCCGCCCACGCCGAGGCAGGAGAGGCCGCAAGGCGCGGGACACGGTGGCAATGACAGCGAAGAATCCTATATTCTAATCCTATTATTCGAGTATACCATGATTTATTATCAAATACTATACTCTACTGACGATGCCATACCGTAATACAGCTTTGGAGATCTGCCGACTTCAGGCCCCAAGTACTGGCATAGCTGCGGCCTTTCCCAGTGTGCTGTCAGGTGGCTTCTTCTCGGGCTGGGAGGAGCCGAACCCTGAAGACCATGCTAGCGAGCGCTCTCGGCTGCTTGGGCTTTCTTGCGGAATTGAGAAAAGACGGGAAACCCGACATAATATTGTGTACATATATATTTATATATGTATGATATATATATATATAGAGAGAGAGAGAGACTGTAAAGAGAGATAGATATATTCTATGTTGTTCTGTTCCATTCGAATCAAACTTAATCAAATTCTATGATATTCTTCAAGCTTTTCACAGAAATCCTTGGAAGCTAAGGGCGAGCTCCGCCAGATACTCGGCTTCCCGGGGTTTCGATGAGAGGGGCCCAGGCCCAGCCCCACGCGCGGCAGAGCCTGCAGAGGAGAGGGAGGCACATCTTGAAGGGATTAGGGTTTAGGGTTCAGGGTTTAGGGTCAGCTTTTTGCAGTTCCGGGCGAGAGAAGCCTGCTGCAAAAGGGTCAGCTTTTTGCAAAAGGGTCAGCTTTTTTTGTGCACTCTTGCCTTAAGAGGGGGTGAGGGTTGCGTGGAAACTTTTGCAAGTAGGAAAGTGCAGTCATGAGGGCTGAACCTCCGTATGCTCAGACATTCAGGCGGTTACACAAGCCCTGATGCAGAAAACTGTTACGGGTTCAGGGTTTAGGGTTTTGGGCAGTAAAGCTGCTAGGGCTGCTTGCTCCAACTCCGGGCGAAGTGGAAAGCCTGTTGCAAAAGGGCATCTTGAGAGGAATGCAGACCCTAAGCCCAATGGCCTATGGGTAGCTCTCGAAATGAGGGTCCCGTTTAAAGGTCCTCGGTGCGAGGTGCCGTGCTATATTGGGGGCCTGAAACGGGACCCTAGTTTAGAGAACTGCCCCTGTCAACCCCAGCCGACCTAGTCAGCAAAGCGGGTGGGAAAAAAAACCCAGCCTATAGCGGGATGCATGTGGGTGTGCCTTTACCTGGGCCACGCGAGCCTGCTTTCCAACCTGTCGAGGGTCCAAACCCCTAAACCCTAAAGGAGTGACAAAATCGATAATTTGCTGATGTTGGGATACGATGGCACGTCAATGATCATTCGCTGCTTTCAGTGCCGCAGGCTTTTCTATTGCAACGATCAAGAGGTACGAGCCTTCTTGGTGATCGCAGCGATGATGGTGAAGGTGACGCCGACGACGATTTTGCAATTGTAAGTGCATCATGATGCCGAGTTTTGATCTATAATGCCCCTTTTTCTGTTTCGTTTTCTGATCACCCGCACCCAATCTCCACCAACCACCGTGGCTGCTGCTGCGGCTGCCGACAACCTGTTTCCGTGCTTTAATGCAAAGGGGAGTGGCCGTTGGTAGTCAGGAATTGCATCACCAGCTATGCTTGCCACCTGTGCCATGTTCCCCGCTGTGCAGTACCCGCATCGAGAGGCGAGCCTGACACCTCGTGGTCACCGTGGAGCCACAGATGCTTGGATTTGCAATTCGGACGTTCAGGACTTTCAGGGGGTGTAGAGTTGGGTTTACAATGTGCTCCTTCCAGCGACTCAGATAAGTGAACAATCAACAGATGCAGGCTTCGATCCCAACACAGCTGGATAGCTCCTTAGACTGTCGACAGTGACCATGCCTGACAGCCTAACCTGGACTTCTAGACGACAGTTGCATGCACAGGCAATGCATGTAGCCCTTTCAGAGTGTCGCTGGATGGTTGGTCAATGTTGCACACAGTGACCTCGCGTGGGGCGTGGCCGGATAGGTGGCACGATTACTTTGGGTTTTGGGTACGTGCATTTCACAATCATTGAGATCTCACGCTTCCAAGCAGTGCTTGGTTTGTAACCCATACAAGCTTGAAAGGGCGACTTCAAGACACCCAAGCTAGGGTCACTACATCGTGCCGTGGCCGACAACATCTTTTGGCGAAGACTGCAAGCATCAAGCTGCGTGCCCAATGACAAATACACGAACAAACATGCACAAATGAGCACCGATACTGATACTTGATTGATTTTTTGTTATTGCTATGATCAATAATGTTCTGCTGTTTCATGTGCTCGCGCAGAGAGGCTTCTTCTGGTCACCGCTGGACCTCGGACGATGCATCCGCCTACGCACATCGGCCACAAACGAAAGCAGCTCGAAGCCAGTCGCAGCCGGCCACAAAGCAGAAGAAAAAGACTCAGATGCCAAGGTCAGCTTCTGCACCGGCTTTGTTTGCTCTTAGCTTTCGTGGTGCTGCTTCTGTTCTGGTTGTGTGTCGCAGGCCTTACTTCGAGGCGGAGGAAGTTGGCTTCGCACGCCAAGAGCCTCAACAGTCTGACTGGCTTCCATACTATGAGGCAGAGGAGATTGGCCACTCCCCACGTGCCCGGCGCGAGCAAGCCAGCGAAGAGTCCTGGCAGTCGGGCTGGGTGCCATACTCTGAGGCAGCGGAGGTTGGCAACACGCCACGTGATCGTCGAGAGAAAGCCAACGAAGAGTCCCAAGAGTCTGGTTGGGTCCTGCCCAGCCTTCCTTTTGCAGCTTTTGCTGGATTTGCATCTGCAGCTGCCTGGTCGTCGTCATCCCCTGGTGATGCGACGACTGAAGAAGACCTACCTTCCAGCGAGGCGCACCTTCGTGCATAATGTGCTTCGGAACTGCACGGCGACCCAAGACATTCACTGCATGCCTTGTGAAGGCAGCAGTTGCGGCTGATGCGCCACAGGACGCCAGCGGGAGCTTCCTTCGTAATTGCGTAGCCGTCCCATGTTCTGGCTCTCGAAGTGTCCGCCTCGTCTGGGACAGTTTTGCACTTCTTGCGGTTTTCAGGGTTACAGTTATTAACAACTGCGAGAGGTCAGAAACGTGGTGCAGTCATGACTACTGAGTGCTGTATCGTGGGTCGAGCTGGGCAGTAAGGCCAGCAGTCCAGTCGCTTGTGAGAAAAACTTTACTTATCTTCCTCTGAGACCTGCATTCGTTCTTCGTGTGTTTGGCCTGTGGTTTGAACTGTTCTGTCCCAATGCCTGGTGTTGGAGACGTGGCTGAAGGAATCATATGTATGTGTGTATGTATGTATGTATGTATGTATGTATGTATGTATGTATGTATGTATGTATACTACGCACACATACATGTACTCATACATTTATGTGTCTATGTGTACGTCTCTCTACATATATACATACACACACATGTATATATATATATACACGCACATTCAGTTTTATATGTTGTTGCATACATACAACTTGGACACTCCATGTTCCCAAGGTACGGTAGTCAGATCTGTCTCCGAACACAGACGCGAATCAACGGCTTCCGATCGCGTAGCAATTTTGAAGAAGACTAATTACGAACACTGCTCCCTAGTATTCCGAATTATCTCTACACTGTAGTATACCCACAACCGCTGGTTTCGGCTCCGTCTTTGTCCGACTGCGGCAGCGCATTGATTTTGATCCTTCCGATGTTTAGGATACTCAGAACATGTCGCTTGAGGTCGTATCTTCCTTTGTTTCTCTATGATTTGCTTGTTGTCGCAGGAAATGCCGTGCTGGGGCGCCTTAGCACATGCCCAAAGTAACCACATACAGTATCAGTTTCAAAATGCCAATAAACACACATATGTATGTGTATATATATATACAAATACCTAAATATGTGCGTATGTATAGTATGTATATATATGTTTGTATGTATGTATGAAGGATTGTGTATGAGTTTATTTACAAGTATGTGTGTATATACATGCTTACATATGCAAGCATAAGTAAGACAACATGAATAAACCAGCAAAGACAATTACATAACTAGGATGTATGTATATATGTATGTGTGTTTATTTATAGGTATACACATACATACATGCTACATGCTTAATTTTCCGTCATATGGTCGGAACGTAGAGCAGGCCGGTAATCTTTTGACAATCGATTTCGATAAGTAATCGTCACCTTTACTGTCCTTGCAGGAAAGCCAACACCCAAAACCCTAAACCGGTCGTTATCGCGTATGGGACAGAAACCCAGGGCCTGCAGCCTGCAATCTTGTGAATTTCAGAGCTGGAGGGTTGCCGGGATTGTGCCGCGGCTGTTCGGGCTCAAATCGGACGGATTTCCCTGCGGCGCCACTTTGGTCAGCTGGGCGGGTGAGGTGAAAACATCAAAGCCCAAAACCCGAAGCCCTAAACCCCGCTCAGCCGTGTAGGAGGCAAAAATCCCCGAAACCCTCACTAGAAGGACCCCCCCAAGTAAGGGGATCCCAACTTGAACCCCACGCCCCAAGCCCGAAATTACCCTAAAGCCCTTACCTCTGCAGGAAGGCCTGAGCCTCAGCTTCGCCAGCTTCACCCTGCCCTTCGCCGCCTTCGCCGGTTATGGTGCCCTTTCTTGGAGCGAAGCTAGGGTTTTTAGGGTTTAGGGTCGTGGGTTAGTGGCAGTATTCGGTAACCTTTATTCAGCTTTTTTGTGGTACGAGAAGGGCTTCGATCTATAAGGGTCTACAAGCGTTCTTCGCAGTAGAGGGGAAACAACGGAGTAGTTTCTCAGGCCTGACGACGAACACTGAACCCAGACAGAGCGTGTTCAATTCCTCGCCAGGCCCTGTTGAGCTGTGAGTTGCACATCCTCCAGCCCAGTTCCCCGAAACCCCGACTTGGAGGTTCATGGGTAGTTATAAGTGGGGTTATAAGTCCCCTAATACGGGTTATAATTACAGCTAGCTTACTTATAACTTCACTTATAACTACCCATGAACCTCCAAGTAAGGTGATGAAGCTGCCGCTTCGACGCCGAAAGCAAAGGCACCGCCGAAGCCCAAGCCACCAGCGCCGAAGTCGCCGGTGGCGAAGCCGCCGAAGCCTGCGAAGCCTGCGAAGCCCAAGCCTGGGGCCCCGAACAGGGTTGAGGGTTTAGGGTTTGGGATGACTTGGGTTTTACCCAGAGGCCCTAAAGTAGTTCCTTTTTTTGGGTTCCTTTTCTAGAATCCTAAAAGGTAACCCCAAAAAGGAACTACTATGGGGCCTATGGGTAGGCTTTAGGGTCTGAGGTTTTGGGTGTGATTGTTGGTGGCCGCCCTGGTAGGACCCATCTGTGGTCCGGGACGGCCCGGCAGATCTCATAGCCCAGGTCCAGGTAAGCTCTAAGCAACGACACCAAGAACAGAACAGCAGGTCATATTTATGAGAACGGGTTTCTGACAGTTTGGGAAATTAGTATAACATGATCATGAAGCTGATAGCCATAGGCGAACATCCATCCGAAGGGTACCTGAGGTCCCGGCAAGAACCGGCAAGCCTAGCATATATGCGAGTATGCACATACCTTCAGCGCAGGGTGAGGAACTCAACTAGCTATCCCAGATGCGGAAAGGCCAGCAATGTGTGCAGTCAGGTCGACGGCCTCGCGCAAAGATGGCAAAATTGACCAGGCCCTTGCGGTGTCCCGTGTGAGGATAGCTTTCAAGAAGGAGGAGTCATCGCCCGACAGGAGGTGCAGAAGATGGCGCAAGTTGGGTGGCAGCCATGGGCAACCTATGCTGCCGAAGACAACGAGGACCCCGTGCAACACTGCATGTTTCAAGAAGGCAACAGTGCAAACCAAACCCAGCACAGGGTCGACGGATGTTTCTGCCCCGACAAGAGCAACTGGCATGTATCATTCAGAGAAGTTTGGTTGTGCCCAGTGTGAAAACAGGGGGAGCGGCTGCACCATGGTCAGTACTGCATGAGACGAGGAGCCAGGGAATCCAGAAAGTATCGTGCTGCCACTCCGCCCACCGCACAGCCTCTCAGCTGCAGAAGCAAACGGGACAATACCCACCTCCCAGAGTGCTGTTGTCGGCATTTGCCTCATTAAGAAGACTTTAGAATCTCAGAAGCCTAGTGCCAATCCCTCCATCGTTCAAAATCTATTCCTGAAGTAATGGGTGTTGCTCGGATCTGCATCCTGCCTCGTCTGTGGCCAGTCAGGCAGCCGTACCTTGGACCAGCTCTACACCAAGCTTTTCCATCGCCAGAAGGCAAGACCCATCAAGACCCTGAACCCTAAACCGTTTTCACCGTGATTGCCATCTTGATGCTGAGTCGCTTAGTCTAGTTGGAGACACAGACCTCGTCAGGAGGTGTCCGAGTTGCGACATGGTAAACCGTTTTCACCTCATCCGACTGCGCACCAGTAACCCAATAACCCCGCCTGGCTTGTCCGAGTGCGAGCGCCGGAACCTTCACCTTGACACTGAAGGGCTCAGAGACTGAAACCCGGTAGTTCAGGAGCATACTTAGCGGTCCTTACGCTTCATGTATGTATGTATGTATGTATGTATGTATGTATGTATGTATGTCGGTGTATGTATGTATGTATGTATGTATGTATGTATGTATGTATGTATGGAATGAATGAATGAATGAATGAATGAATGAATGAATGAATGTATGTATGTACGTATGCATGCATGTATGTATGCATGTATGTATGTATGTATGTATGTATGTTGGTTTGTTGTTGTTTGTATGTTTGTATATGTCTGTATGTGTGTATGTATGTGTATGTATGTATTTATGTATGTATGTAATGAATGAATGTATGTATGCATGTACAAGTATGTATGTTGGTTTGTTTTTTGTTTGTATAGTTGTATGTATGTATGTATGTATGTATGTATGTATGTATGTATGTACGTATGTATGTATGTATGTATGTGTGCATGCATGCATGCATGCATGCATGCATGCGTGCGTGCGTGCATGCATGGATGGATGGATGGATGGATGGATGGATGGATGGATGGATGGATGGATGGATGGATGGATGTCTGTCTGTCTGTATGTTTGTACGTCTGTATGTGTAGGTATGTGTGTGTATATATATGTATATATATATATATACACATACATATATATATATATATTCATTCATTCCTTTATGACCGTACGAGCGTTTGGAGTTTCTTGGAGATCTAAAATGGCTGTCTCATTGAAAGGAAGGCAAGCTCGGCATGCGCCTCGTGGGGCAGGACGCTCTTGTGTAATCTCCTAGACGTTGATGACCTTCACGAAGGGTCTAGGGTTGGGGGCTTCGGAATTGAGACGAATTCATGGATAGGTCGTGATGCTAAGTCTGCTTAGGCACGGATAGTTTGAGGCTGCTGAAGATCTGCGATTTCCTGCCTTGCGATGCCTGTCTCTACAAGCATGTGCCCGGCCTATATAGCTGGTAACTTTTCTCAGGATGTTCTGGAATTCGCCGCGCGTGTGGCGAGAATGGAAACATTGGCACCAAATCTCCACGAGCATGAAAAGGCCATCGGACTGCCCGTATTCATGAAATGCACAGAAAGTTTCTGTATGGGTCCACACGACGGCGCCTAGAGTTCCGGCTCAAGACCTCATACAGGACCCACCCTGGCGCGATTAGGAAACACGTGCTCGTGCTGCCATGACAGTGGTTGAGGACCCTGCGCTTGCCGCCCCTACAGGACCCTCAAACCTTATAGCAGCAGCCCTTATGGCACCTTTTTCTCTAGAACCCCTAATGTTGACCTAGTACTAAGTTAGCACCCTATCCTATACCCCTCTTTTACAGTAGCCCTTGGTGAACCCTTTATGTCACAATGTAGTCAATGTAGTCGTAACCTGCACAGGAACCCGTACTTAGTTTAGTAAACCTTGAAAGGAGCCCTACACCCCACACCCTAAACCCTGCCGACATGACATGGGGTCCGTGCCTGCTTCGTGCGAGTGTGCGAGTCGAAACCCTAAAAGTAGCCAATCAACTATAAAACCTAAAAGTAGCCCCCAAAGTCCTAGCTAGGTGGGAGACAAGAACCCTGAAAGTAGCCCTCAAGCCCTATAAACCCTAAACGTAACCCTCTCAAGCCCTAAACCCTAAAAGTAGCCCCTACACCCTAAAAGTAGCCCTTAAGCCCTAAAAGTAGCCTTAAACCCTAAAAGTAGCCCTTTAAAAGGGAGCCTTTTGAGGCCCATTGGAGCGCTTCCTCTCCCGCGAAGCTCGGCCTTCCCACGTCCACAGGGCTGCCTTCGCGCAGCTGAGCTCTCGAGCTACGGGTTTTGGGTTCTGTTTTTGTTTTTTTGTTTTGGGGTTTTTGGGGAGGGTATCAGTGTGTTTTTAGGGTTTTGGGGTTTGGCGGTTTTGGGGTTTAGAGTTTCGGGGTTTAGGGGTTGAGGGTTTAGGGTTTAGCCACGAGTGCTGCTGGAGGGTTTACGCACTGTCTTGTGGAGTTTCCCGGCTGCTTGCAAGAGTCCTGGATGCAAAAGGGTTTAGGGTTTAGGGATTTGGGTTTAGGGCCAGGTTAGGGTTTGCCGTGGAATGGCGCGTGGGCGGCTGTATCTTGCAACGATGTCGCGTCGAGTGCATCCGTGGCGATGAGCTGTCAAAGCCTGTCTTACAGAAGGCTTTTCCTCCGTTCTCTCCTACCCCTCGCCGTCTAAGGCGGCCAAGCCACCCAACCTTCGGCTTTTGGGGTTCAGGCCGAAACTCCCAGTTCTTCCTTCCAGACAACAGGCAGAGAAGGGCAGGGCAGGGCAGGGCAAGGCAGCGCCTCATCGCGGAAGCGGGGCGGGGTTGGGTGACCAGTGGGCCAAGTTGGCAGGGCACAGGGGGCAGGACGGCAGCGCGAGGGCAGCGCCGGGGCAGCGCCGGAACAGCAGGGGCAGCAGGCAAGGCAGAAGGGCAGGGGCAAGGGCAAGTTTAGTCCACGCGCCTTCAGGGACGCGGTTTTCCGAGCTGGACCGAGCCTTTGCGAAGTTGGTTTAGGGAAGTCCAGATGTAAAGATTCCATACGGGTTGCTGGAAGGGTTATATGAGGGTCCCTTATGAGGGTTACTTGTAAAGGCTGGTGAAAAGAAATCCTCGTAAACGGCCTAGCATTTTGGCTGAAGCGTTTGCTACAAGGGTGTAATAAGCGGTGTCATGAGAAGCGTTTAGAGAGACTTGTTGCAAGAAAAGCAAGGAATGGATGTGGTCTACAATAAATCTTAGGTCGATTCTTGCAGTCTTGCGGTCTTACAGTAGCGTAGCAAGGAAGCCTAACAAGTATGAAACCCTGGCCCTATGCCCCCAAATATTAGGATCCAGAACAGAACCCAAACAAAGACCCAACGGCCTAAGGGATTGTAATCAGGCTAAAATGTTATCAAGAGCCAAGGTACGTTTGCACGCAGGTTGGTGCCGGCCTTCTTGCCCTGGGACCTGCGGTGGGCCATGCCGGCTGGGTGGGCATCCCTGTCATCGTGCTTTGCGCCCTCTGTGCCGGATACACCTCCTACCTCTTCGGCTGGATCATGTTTCAGGTGGAGGAACTCTTTCGCCACAGCAAAGCGCCAAGTTACGAAGACATTGGCTACCAGGCTATCGGCGGCTTCGGCCGCCTGCTCACTCAGATCTTGCAATGGCTAATGTTGATCGGCGTTTGCACCATCTTCCTCGTTCTCATCGGTGTCAATGCCTGGCAGCTGCAGCAGATCTTCGGCGTCTCCTGGCTGCCAAAGCGAAGCGTCATCCTGCTGTCTGCAGCCATCGAGCTCGTCTTCTGTTTCGTCGTTGCCACGGTGAAGGAAACTTTCTGGCTCACGGCTCTGGGCGCACTTTGCTCGGCAATTTGCGCAGGGGTAGTCGTGGTGTCAGCCTTTACCACGGACAGCTCCAAGCTGGCTGGTTGCTTGGATGGTCAGACGACAAACACTTGGCCAATGTTCACAGACTTCCAAGGGCTCATCCTTTGCTGGAACACCGTCGTCTTCGCCTTCGGAGGGATCAACGTGCTCCCCAGTTTGATGGCCGATTTCCACACCCGCGGAGTGCTTTCACGAGCACTGGTGAGCTTCACCTGGCGATCCTACGGCTTGATCATCTTGCTCTACGTGGCTGTGGCAGCCGCTGGCTTCGCAGTCGGTGGAACGGCCATGGCAAGCAAGAAGGTCGACTCGAACGTCCTCATTGGCCTCTCCGGTTGCCCAAGTGGTGAGGCGAAGTCTGTGAACTGGAGCTTGGTGGTGGCCTACAGTGTCATCACTTTACATGTGGTGCTTGCCTTCCCTGTGCCCTTCCACTCCTTGGCAGAGACGCTGGAGGCATCGCTTGGCACGCGGGACGGGGCTCTGAAGCCAGGGTTCAAGGGCCTGGCCATGCGTACACCCCGCCTCTTCCTTCTGGGCCTTTGTACCTTGCTGGCTTATACTTTGCCCTTCTTCGGTGCGTTGTTGGACGTCGTTGCGGCTATTGCTGGCCAGGCCACTGTGTTCATCCTGCCCGTGATCTTCTCCGTGGCGATCCAGTGGCAGCAGGGCTTGAAGGTGAAAGGCTACGAGTGGGTCCTGAGCTCCCTTTGCCTGGTTGTCGGTGTGCTTGGGGCCATCACTGGCCTCTACTATGGCATCCAAGAGGTGGCCTCCTTGCTGAAATGAGAAGAGTCTACGTGAGGCCACTGAAAGCGTGGGACCGGGTTTATGAGGTCAGGCTGACCCTCTGAGAGGCCGCAGAAGGGGCATGGCATGATTTCATCTACCATCATCCAAAGCCTATGCAGTGTGAAGTCTTATGCAGTGACAGATTGCAGATCTTACTTGCTCATGGCCCTCGCCAGATTGTCTAGCCCTCTCGGTATCTCTCGATCACATCTCTCGCCCTGCTTGGGGGCCCAGAGTGGATTTTTTTTTGGTAAAGTGCTAGCCCTCAAACTCAAAGTTTTAAGTGTGGGTCTCCAGACATCGGAACGAAGCCCGTGCCAGAGGCATGCAGGATTCGTTTGAATGCCGGAGCCGACGCTCGAAAGAGAAGTGCCAGTCTGGCCCGTAGCTACTGCAGTGCATGTTTGTCTCTCTGTGCGGCAGGCTTATTCCCAAGGCCAATCTGTGCTCATGAGTCTCATTGCATATCACCTGATGCTCTAACACTGAACGAAACAGGTCTCTTAGGCAAGCCTTGCCAGGTGGGGCGCGGCAAAGTACAGCTGGGGAGCTTAGGGATTGCGGTAAACAGAGCTGGGGAAGAGGCCCGCTAGGGGTCTTAACGGGTAGGGAACTGCACGAAGCCTCCCTTCTGTCAGTGCTGATGAATGAGAGAGATGCACAGCCTGATGTGAGGCCAATCCCGGTGGGGCGCACCGGACCATGACAGCCTATGCGGCATTGCTTCTGGATTCCTTGCAGAAGTATGAGAACAGCTCCCGGGCACAAAAAACCCTATGAGGGCCCATGTGCCCATGTAGTACATGCTTCGGCCTTAAAGTAGTCCTTATACGGGCACTTTAGGGCCAAAGTATCTACTACAGGGTCTACTAAAGGGTTTCATGGGCCCTCAGGGAAAGAGTGTCTCACCTGGAACTGAAGCCGAAGGAACGATGCACACTCGAGGCTCCGTCCTGGGGCTATGGTGCGCAGAGGCGCTGATCACGTTGTTTCGAGCGGGGGACGCGTACCAGCAGGCGGAGTTCTGCGTGCCCTTCTTCCGGGCCTTTGTGGGATGCTCAGTCGGGCTCAGAAATACTGGGCAAGGGGCACAGCCCTGTGCGCATGTTCATGCCTGCTGCCATGAGTGCTATTGGTTCTAACCAAGCTCGGGTAGGGCTGCTATAGTGACTATAGTGGTCAGAATCATTGCTATAAATATCCCTGTGTAGTTCCATTTGGTTATTCAACAGTTGAGGCCCCATTACTGCCGATTCTCAGGCTTCCTCAAGAGGGTGTGGCCATTCTGCTGTCACGGGTAGTCAGGTTGCCATTGCGCTGCGATTCCGCGATGTGAACGTGACCAACCTCCACTTACGTCTCTTGCAAGGTGCAGTTTAGTTCAAAAGGGACAGCACAGGCATAATTGGGCTTCTTCTTCATTCTAGATCTGCTTTTTCCTACACAACGACGGCCTCAATATCTATGCAGCAGGTGGCGGTCCCGAAATGGTGCTCCGTTCAAGATAAGATAGTTTCCTTTCGGAGGCATGGCAGATGTTGTGAGCCCCGACTGCCGACTTTGTGATCCGGGACTGGTGGACTACATCATTGAGCCTGAGCTCTTGTTAAGGAACTTGGTCTAGCGAATACTTAAATATCCGGTGAATATCCCCATTATGGCATCTCAAACTTTTGAGTTCTTCAAGAGCCCAGGAGCAGCTCGACCGGAGTAGGAACAAGCTCAACACGCTGACTGTCGAGCATGCGCTCGCCATCCTCTGCGTCCTTCGAGCTCCCCATCGGGTCAGTGAGCAGATCCGGCCTCTTAGTAGTGAAGTACGTCGCGCTTTAACCTTTTTGACAGATCATCTATATCCCCAGTGTACCCAGATAGTTCCTTTTTGGGATTACCTGATAGGATTCTAAATATGAACCCCAAAAAGGAACTACTATGGGGCCTATAGGTAATCCCAAAGATTATTTGACCTGGATACTGGACAAAGCAAGGCATTGCCTCTTGGTCCTTCGCGGCCTGAAGTCCGAGCCACACTTGTGTGTCCGAGTGCCTCGGCACACATAAAAAAGGGGATTTTGGTGAGTGGATTGTAAGGTTTAGGATGGCCAAGTTGGGTTGTGCTGTTTGCTACTGACCCTTTGGTCATGTGCGTGTAATCTTGGGGCCCGAATAATTGTTAATTTTCTTGCGTAGGGTTTCTGACTAAAGCTGTTCTAGAATATACGTACCCCGAAGCCTTATTCTAATTATGATGGTTGGTCATGTTTTCAACAGACCGACAGCACCACGAGATGATAATCGAAGTATTTGCCTCAATCCCACAATACTCAGCCCTTCGGGCAGTCCGAAGTGCGAGAGCAGGAAGACCTAGAAGCCCATTATGAGCCGCGACAGGGCCTAAAAAAACCCGACTGTTGGAAGCATCCACCAGACTCCCAGGCTTTGGTAACCGCTGCCGAGCTCTACGAAGTTGTTGCAAACCTCGTGAATCGGGAGAGAGCAGCGAAGCAGAGCACCGGGAGCTACTATGGAGGCACTTGAGGATTCGGGGGTTTGGGGTTTGGAGCCCAGAGCTTGGGCGGTGTTTTCATCAAGATGGGCAGCTTCATTCGTAAAGGTTTCTGGTGGGTCTGCGTGAGAAAAGTCCAGACCTCGGGCTAATGCTGGCAATGACATAATGTAGTCACCAAGCGTCCTTATGAGAGTCGAATGGCTCGGCGATTTTGCCTCGACGTGGCAGCCAAGTCTATGGTCATGGATTGCTTCCGCTGGGCTCGAGGGTGTTGTTGGACAGGGCGTCGGCAAACCTTTTTGTTGCACGAGGCAGCACTGCAGACAAGGCATGCCGCCGCAGGAATCGGCGACAAGGTTTACCGAAGCATCACTGTATATTGGGTTATAGAACACTAAATGACGGTATGTCACAGTATATTATGTTATATTATATTATAATATACAGTATTATATCACAGTAACTAAAACTGCGTGCGAGTGTGAGAGTCGAAAACTTTATCATGTTACATTCTACTTTTATCATGTGATACTGCATCATGTCATAGCATGTCATATCATAACGTTATGTTGGATTACACTATATCATGTTATATTGCATCTTGGATTGCACTCGATGATGTTAGATTGTGATAAGTGATGTTATGCTATGTTTTGTTCTTCATATTATACTTTTGCATGTTACCATGTTAGTTTAGATCGCATTTTAACCCATTTCATCAAGTTATACTAGTTTAGCACACGTCAAGATGAAGCGCAGTCCTAAGCCGAAAGCCTTCAGTGAAGCCCGAACGCAGACAAACAACCAAGCATAAATACCACAGGAGGGTTTGCGGTTTCGGGTTAAGAGCTCAGCACCTCTCAATCAAAGTATGTGCCTTGAGCCACATAATTGGGCTTAATCTTGGGATCCATGGTGTATTTTGTCGCCCCGAAGTATCGGTCTCCGACTCAGCAGCCGTGCAGGTGGCTACACCTTCAACGATGACGACCAGGAGGCGTTTGTCTCCGAGCTGGGCCTTCCACCAGCAGGAGCGGCTGTGCAGCTCGTGGCGACGGTGATGGACCTGCAACTCGGACCAAAATTTCATTCGGGTTCATAATATGAACCCGAATATACTTAGGGTTATAGGGCCAGGGTTTCTTAATCAGGTTCCTACATTAGGGTTGGCAGCCTTTGAGGCGAATTAAGGGAAGGATCCGGCAGCTTCCGTCTTGTCGTGGGGTATCTTCTCAGGCCTAAATCCAAAATCAGCGGGTGTCAACCCACTTCGCGTGGGAACTCGCCGGAGTGTCCGAGTTGCAAGCGTCCAACCCCTTCAACCCTAATCCTAAAAAAACGTTAATCACCTTCCGACCACGAATCTCTTGCAGACCTTGCCAGGCCTGTCCGAGTGTGAGAGTCAAAAAAAATCCTTTTGAGGAGCTCCCGTGGAGGTACGAGGTGTCACTCAAGCAGACCTCCAGCCGGGCCCTGGGGTGTCCGAGTGTGAGCGCCGAAACATGTTGGGAGTTTCCGAAAACAGGGGTACCTTATTTTGGGGTCCTTGTAATAGGGACCCTACTTTTTTAGGGTATTATATTAGGGTCCCCTATTTTCGGAAACCCCGTTTTGAGATTTTTGAGGTACACCAGCAATCGCAAGCTTGCCGGTGCGGCGCTGCGCACTTTCTCGGCCATGGCCAAGATCACGAGCTGCTGGACTAGCAAAGGAGTGGAATAGCGAATTAATGCAGGAGCCTAAATAATTGCCAATATTACTGTTACGGTTCCATATTATACATATACTATAAGGGGGCCCAGAACCCTATTCTAACTATTAAGGCCCTACATTAAGCTTGTACCTTGCGGATCTTTGCAGTTTTGGTGGCTGGTAGAGCCGGCTGGGGCTTGAGGGATGTGGATTTGCAAGGACGGTCAAGAAAACAGGCTGGCAAACTGCTTCGTTTGCTTCGTAGTGTGGAACCGTGAGAGAATCGCAGCCGTACAGGCAGAATATCGGGCCGAAGTAAGTAAATACATGCAAATCGAATTACAATGACAGATAACAGTTCTCAGAAGAAAGCATGCTGGGGCCATGTGGTTGACAGCCAGGTTGACTTCTAGAAGATGATCTCGCCCTCAATAAGAAACATTTCTCGGGAACTGAAGCATGGCCCCTTCGAGTTCAACTGTCCAGGAAAGCACCTGCAGGACATCGTCGCAGGGGAAGTGAGGCCAATATCGAACACGCTGCATGAGCATGCAAAAAGCCGCTCCGTGAACCTCCACGTAGCCGAGCTCATCCTACTGGTGGCGAAGACAAGTGCCGTGACAGCAAGATTTGGCCTAGAAGAGGCGGCATAACAGCTTTGGCCCAATTTGTGCAATCAACGCTGTCATGGTTTCTGTTGGCTCTTGCACTGCGAGTTGCTTGGTTTCACATAGTTGGCGGTCAGACTCCCTGCAACTGAGGGACGGATCTTGTTTCTGATGGATTGATGCCTGGTTGCAGCACAGGGGGGCCGCGCAGTCATGTCCAACTGCGCTAAAATCTGAACGCTTGCGGAGCTTCAGAGCTTCACCTGGCGAAGATCTGAGGATGATGATGGCATGCAAGTCGCTGAGAAGCTCCACGCGAGATGCAGAAGCCTAGCTGAAATGCACTTGACCTTGCTGGGCGGGTCTGGACTTTGCATGTGCCCGGAGGATGCTGCTTCGCGCTGCTCTTTCCTGCCGTTCCCGTGCTGAATCGTTTTGCCCGGTAGATGTGGCAGTATATGGGTGGTTGTCAAAATTATGGTCCCTTTTTGGGTCCTTATTATAATACGGCACCTATTATTTAGGGTACCCCAAAAGGGACCCTAATTTTGACAACTACCCATATGAAGTCGTTCCGCAAAACCAGCGCAAAACGAAAGTCTTCCCAATCCCGCTGTGCCCTTCGGGAACGCTGCAAAACTGCGATACCATGTCACATTGGCTTTGTTCTCAGATGGCTTGGGAGGGGAGTTCCATTATCGGGAAAGACCACGAAGCATGTAACAGCAGCTGAGCTGTCTCTGGCGCATATGGCGTTATTCATCGCCTTCGTCACCAAGACCACAATAGCCTTGTGTTTTGTTTATTCAGTGCTATGTAAGAGAGACCGGAGGGTCACTTTATGTAGCTTGGTTGAAATACACATCGGTGAGCGTCCACACTTGGGAGTCGCATGTCAAACAACTCAATCATTTGTTTTGTGAGCGATCCTTTTGTTCCATTTTTGTCTGGCCAAGCACCCCTTGTAAGCCTGTTGGGCTGACAAAAACGTTTTCCGGGAGTGACGTTGGCCCTTTCTTTACAGGCCCTCAAACTCGGAAAGTGTTTGCCTGGAGACCCACATATCCTGAAGTCAGATTGAGCTCCTCTTGCAGACTACAAGCAGCGTATCACATACTAATGCAAATTCCCGGCACTGACAGACTGATGCGCAACTCTGCGAACCGCGTCCCCACTATGGAAGATGCCTATTTGGAGATAAACCCGGCGCTTGTATGGGCACGGCCGCATCATGACAACGAGCCAGTGCCTTGCAGGGGGGCCATCAACCGAACATGATTTCGGCTTGCGTTGACAGTCCTTGGAAGAGGCAATCTCAAAGGTACAAGTACACGTGGTCTGAAGACCGAATGTTTTTGTGGAAACGTGGCTGCCTTCAGAACGATCTCGGGAATGACCTCTGCACACGTCGGGTGACTTGTGTGCCAGGGGGGTGGAGTGACTGCTGACTTGTTCTGTGGGGTGGCAACCACGCCCGCTCGTAGACTTCACAAGCAACCGGCAATCAGAATCGAGGGTGCAGTTGCTGCACACAATTTTTCAAAAGGTGGATCTGGCATAGTGCCTCACGGCGAGAGAGGAATCGGAAGAAGAAGGCAAAGCCGGCACCAGTGGCGTGCAGGTGCAGATCAAGATAGGGCAAGCAATCATGGGTTCAACAGCAGCTACTGTACCCAAGCCCCAAACTTATAAGTCGAGGGGCCCAGGCGCGTCTTTCCTTCCGGCCGAACAACCTCGCCTGCAGAGTGCGAGTTGCGAGAGCCCAAGCCCTACAACCATGCTCTGGCATCCACGAACCCAGAGAGCCCAATACCCCTCAATTCAGGAATATGCCTTAAATCATAATATTAGGGCCCCTTTTAAGGTATATTCCTTATTTAAGCGGTATTGGGCTCTTTGGGAAGCTAAGGAGATTGCGTGCAACATCTTGGTTTCCTTGCAGACCTTCCTTCAGAAGGCATCTTCAGACTCGGACGGTGGCCCGGCAGCCGTCAACAGATCCTTGGCGCAATCCCTGCCATTTGACGTCCTCGTGCGTGTGGGCGACACTCACCACGCGAACTCCGGCGTCGTTGCTCCTCTGTGCCACTGCATGAACTTGCAGGCCACTGTCGGTCTCGCCTAGGCTATTTCATTATCATGCTGTCAGCGAGTCAGGCAGCAGCGTCGAAAGAGTATCGTGATGACTTCGTGAATGCTGGTGCCATCGCCGTTCCGTTGCGCATCTTTGACGAGGCCCGTATCACAATCGGTGCTACAGCTTGTTTGCTTTGGTCCTCTTTGTGATTCTGTCAGGCAGAGGTACACACTCCGGAAGCTTGTGCAGCTGCAGCTCAGATCCTGAAGGTGTTGTTGTGCCTGGGCCGTTGTTTCGCAATGTTCTTATTTTGCGCAGCAGCAACAAGGGGAGAGCTCGCGAACGTTGCATGTTTATATGTTTCAAATCGAGCAACAATGCCTGAAGAACACTTTTATGGTACAGCGCAGTATGTAGTTGTGATATTCCCGAAGTGGTAGGGTGTTGGACTATTGCTGAGCGTTCTTGCAGCCCCGAATATCAGCGTGCCCCAAGCAGTTGTAGTTGTACGTGCAGCAGGAGTAGAACAGCTAGTCGTCGTCGTTACTGTCGTGATGATGGTCGTATGTTGTGGGAGCTGTAGGGCAGTGTCAGAGGAGTAGCAAATGCTGGATAGCACAAGTAACACGAGGACTCGATGTAGGAGCAGCTGGACAGTAGTGCTGGAACTCTAAATCTGTAAGACTCCTCAAAGTAATCGCTGCTGGAACCCTTGTAGAAACCACTACAGCAACCCTTGTGGCGACCCTATACCCACAGAGCCCAATACCAAGTAATTCCGGAATAGACCTTAAGCCATGGAAGCAATCCACTTCTAGTTGAAGGTGTATTCCTTACTTATTTAGGGGATCTTGGGTTCTCTGTAGAATAGGAAGCCTTCCTAAACCCTAAACCTGGAACCCCGAAACCCTAAACCCTAAACCTTGAACCCCTAGACCCTAAACCCTAAACCGAAAACCCTAGACCCTAAACCCTAAACCTAAAACCCTAAACCCTAAAACCCTAAACCTAAAACCCTAAACCCTTAAATCCTAAACCCTATTAAACCCTAAACCCTATGAACTCTTACTTGTAAGCGCTGTCGTCTCTTGGGCCTGTCATGTAAACCCTTGCTTGCAGGATCATGGGACTTCGCAAGTGAGGTAGTTTTTTTCTTAAAGGGCCTTTTCTGTTGCTTGCGCTCCAAAGCCCTTGTTGGGCAAGTGAGGTAGTTTAGGGTTTAGGGTTTCAGGGTTTGGGGTTTTGGGGTTTAGGGTTAAAGGACCTGCATGAGGGTCATAAGTAACTGGCAAGGTTTATTCAGAACCCTAGTTGCTCTGTCCCATCATCCTTGAAGTATGCCTTGCGACTTCGGGGCTTTCGGGGATCTAAGCTTAGAATCTGGAGTACAGGAGGGTTCAGGGTTTAGGCTTTAGTTCGGTTTCAAGAACCTAAACCCCTAAACTCCTAAACCCCTCAACCCTAAACCCCTAAACCCCTAAACCCTAATCCCCTAAACCCCTAAACCCTAAACCCTATAGAGTCAGGGCTCTGGGGCCTTTGTACAACTCCTGAAGGGTTCTGGGAGTGGGATGGCATGGTGCTCCAGTGCCAGCAAGCTTGGTTAAAGGAAACTACAGGTGGGGAGTTTCGGGTATATAGGGCTTCTATGAGGCTTCCATAAGGTATAAAGACCTTCTATAAGGCTCCTATAACGGTCACTTCCCACCTGAAATTGCCCTAGACTTGGAGCTCTTCTTCGCCCCAGGGTTGATATGGCTTAGTGCTAAGGTTCAGGTTTTTTGGGCCTTTGGGTGCCCTAAGCCTTAGACCCCTAAATCCTCAAAACCCGTAAGCCCTAAACCCTAAACTCCCAATCCCGAACCCCTAAACCCCAACCCCTAAACACTAGACCCCAAACTCCAGGGTTTAGGGTTTAAGGTAATCCCTAAACCCTAAACCCCCAATCCCAAACCCCTAAACCCTAAACCCCAAACTCCAGGGCTTAGGGTTTAAGGTAATCCCGAAACCCTAAACCCCCAATCCCTAACCCCTTATATAACCCTACAAACCCCAGGGTTTGGGAGTTTGGAGCTCAAAATCCTCTCTCTCTCTCTCTCTCTCTCTCTCTAGCTCAAAATCCTGGCTCCAGGATCTTTGACGTCTTGGGAGAAGCTGTCCTGCGACGCGCGCGGGAGCTTGGACTGGAGGCCGAGACTTAGTCAGTAGGTTTTAGGTTTCAGGGTTTAGGGTTTAGGGGCTTAGGGTTTTAGGGTTTTTAGGGTTTTTAGGGTTTTTAGGGGCTTAGGGGTTTAGGGGTTTAGGGTTTAGGAGTTTAGGGGTTTAGGGTTTGCGGAGTAGCTAATAAGTAGAGTTCTAAGTAGCTGAAAAGGGATTCTACGTGGGGTGCAGATACTTATAGCTTGTGACTGTCTACGAAGACTGCTAAGTAAGTCGCATCGGATTGAAATGAGGTGAGACCCATTGAGGGATACTAACTCCTATTATAAACCCTTAAAAGAATCCTAATGTTAAGCTATCTTGCTTAGCTAAGTGGTTATGGGCTCTCCGAACCATACCAAAGCACTCTTCCGCGCAAGCCGGGCAGAAACATTCGAAGTGCCAACCTTTAGCCATCAAGCACTACGGTTGATGACATAAATCCTGCATTGCTTAAGGACCCTAAACTATCGGAATTATGGTACATTCCTTGTTATGGGTAATGCAGGATTTATATCATCAACAGTACTTGCGGTTGTATTTTTTCGAAATTAATGCTCACTCAACCACATTGAAAAGCATACAAGTTGCTAAGACCAAAAGCTTTAAAACCAGCATGAAGCACCACGATGTGGCAGAAGAAGATCACCCGTGATCAGCATAACTGTACTTATCAGCATTATCCTCGTGATCATCTTCATCATCAGCATCATCTTCATCATAATTGTCACATCCTCGGTACCATCAACACCCTTTTGCTTTCAGGCTCAACAGCGTCACCGTTCTAGTCATCAACACCAGAAAGCAAAGGAGAGTGCTAAACATACTCTCATCATCTTCAGCAGCGATACCAACAACATCCCCCCAGCGTCACCACGATCGCCATCATCATCTCTCAAGACTCAAGATCACCATCTTCGACATGCATTGCCATGGTGATGATGAGCAAGACATCTGGCCGGCTCCCTCAGTTGCTAGAAGATCACCTTATACGGAGGTTCATGGGTAGTTTTCAATGGGGTTACAAGTAGGCTTACTATCGCTACAACCCCTCTTCGGGGACTTATAGCCCTAGTTATAGCTACCCATGAACCTACAAGTAGTTCTGCAACCCCGACGCCTGCCTGAAAGCTGACAAAAACCCTCATCAACGCTTTAGGGCTTAGGGTCTAAACCTGACAAACCCCGAAAACCTAAGAAGCTTAAGACCATATCAACACACCCTCCCCAAAACCCTTCACCCCGTTAGACCCTAAACATTACTTGGAAGTTCATGGGTAGTTGTAAGCGCGGTGTGGAATCCCCAAATATAGGTTATATGTATAGTCACCCTACTTATAACCTCCAAGTTATATAAGGGCCTTAATAGCTAGAAAAGGGTTTGGGGGTGTACTGTACTATAATTACAGTAAGGAAACCGACAAAACCCTATTCTACTTATTAAGGCCCCTACAGTACTCAAAGGATCTTGAGTGTCACTGGCGTCCTCCAGCACGCGTCCGCCCGAGGTGGACCAAAAGCCGGACTTCCATCCGCCCTTGTCACAGTAACATGGGGGGAGGGGGGGGTCGTAGTTTTAGGGTAGGGGATCCTTTAAGGAGCTCCTTAAAAGGGGATAGTATGGCTATGGTCGTTCTATAATATCGCGTTCCACGGCTCTTTTTGGGTTCACCTGGACCCTAAAGAACCCACCTTTTCAGGGCTCCTGATAAAGATTTCCTTATATGCGTCCTGAAAAGATAGGTTATCTAGGATCCCGGCAGGGATTATGGCTTTCTGGGGTTTCTCGGGCTTAGTATTTAGCATGGACTTGAGGCTTTTGTGTTTAGGTTTTCGGGTTAAGGCTTCCGCGGCCTGGTTTCTGGGTCCGTCCGATCTTTTTGTTATCACGGGCTCTACAAGGGGTTTGTATGATATTCTAGAGGTCAAGGCTCTACAAATTATACGGGTTGTGTAATGAGATCTTTTGTGGCTCTCTTTTCTAAAGAGTAGAGAAACGAAGACTGCAAACTGTAGACAAGATCTCTATTACAGTACTGACCAGGGTTAGAGGAAGGACGCTTCATTTCATGCAGGTTTCGAGTCCAAACCCTAAACCCTGAAAAAACAAGCAGAACCCTAAATCCTCACAACATTCAACCCTGAGACCCTAAACCCCAAACCCTAAAACCTTCAACCCTACACCCTGAACCCGAAAAAACAGAAACCCTAAACCCAACACTTTAAGCTTCTGGGGCCTTTTGGTCTTCGCTTTCGGCTACAGGACTTGTCTTCTACATCACCCCATTTATCAGTCTAGCCTGAGGCGATAAAACCTCAAGGATAATCCAGCAACTTCGGGGGTGTGAGTTTAAGGTTTGCGGAGTTTAAGTTCAAGGTTTAGGGTTGAGGGCTTTGGGTTTAGAGTTTCGGGAACAAGGTTGAGTTAGTTTAGGCCTTCCGTTCCAGGCATTCAACGAGGTTTAGGTGAGGGTTAGGATGATTTGAGATTTAAGGTTTGGACAAAGGTTTAGCACCAGGGGTCGGGTTCAGGTTATAGGGTGTGGGGTTAGGGGTAGGTTACAGGCAGCACAGACAGCTTCTCAATTCGAACAATCCCGCAAGACGCAGGATGAAACACAAAAGGTGGAATCGGGGCTCACCGCCGGGGCAGGCTGTGAATTTCATGAACATCTCTGCAAAAATCCGAAACCTAAATACTAAACCCTAAACCCTTCAACCTTTGCCTAAGCCTTGAAAGTCGCAACACACCAACACCCTGTACCCTGCGCCAAGCACCCGGCTTTTCGGCAGTACAACACCTTGGCATGCAGGCGCGATGCAAACTGCGGTTTGCAAGGCAAAGAACCTTCCACTTGTGTTGCGTTACGTCTTTCATGACGGTTCCATGAGGCTCTATGTGGGTTTCAGAAGCTTCGCTGCGAGCTTTCGAATTTATTTTATAAGGTATCTGGGCTTGAGGAATCCAGGTTCGTTGGATCACTCCTGCAAACGAGCGACAGACAGGTTTTCTCTGTTTTTGCAAGCCTCGTCAGCAGCCTCTTTAAGAGGTGCTCTGGATTGAAATCCTGCCCTACGGATAAAACTAAGTTGAGGCTGTTGGTGCATCCTGTGTGGAAACTGTGCTGCTCATTCCAAACAGTCCGCCTGCCAATGGCCGGTCTTGCCGCATCTGAAGCACTTATCACCGTATTCATGGACAGCCCAGTCGGGGCGGGAGTCTGAGTGCTTGTAGCCAGCC